TCCCTGGGGATGGGACCCCCTGTGGATAGTACCCAACGTTGTCACCCTGTCCTGCCAGCATTCAGAGCTCCCAGTGCCTGGCCAGGGCTGAGCTGTGGGCCAGAAATAAACATTAAATCCTGACAATCCAATGAACCAAAAATACAGCAACAGAATAAGCTGCTAATTGCATGCGCTGGCAGTGCCTGTCCGAGGCCTGTTACAGGACATCTGGGGGGTTTATATAATGCTTCAAAGCCTTCCTGGAGCAGGCAGGGATGGGGGACACCCTCCTAAAGTCTGATGGCTCAGGAAAACCCTCCCTCCCTCCCTGTGCTGCCTCCTGAGGGGATGAGGAGGCACAGAGGGGACACGTTTGGGGAGTTAAATTGCTGCTGTGCAGCTGCAGTTCTACCTATCCCAGTCATCCACTCTGCTTTCCTTCAATAACGTTCTTCTCACCAAAAAAAAACCAGTGTATGTTGTTCTGGCTCCCATTTCCCTGCCCAAGGGAGATGTTGGAGCCTTGTGAACAGCCCCAACCCGTGAATAAGCTGCCTCTGTTCCCTGTGCCCACGCAGGATCCGTCGGGTTGTCCTGGCACCGGCCGCGATCCCTCTGTCTCTTCCCCTCATTTCAAAGTCATTGGAGTTTCTGCATGAGAACCACTGACCAAGAGCTGCCTTTGTCTTCTTTTGACAGATGAACGGGACAGAGTCCAAAAGAAAACCTTCACTAAATGGGTCAATAAACACTTGATGAAGGTAAGAGTCACGTATTTAATAAGAAGCTGGTTAAATGACTGTCTCTTTGTCTGGTCCAGCTCAGGACTGGTAGATAAATGCCTTTTAAAGGTGTTCTAATTTTGGTTTTTAATGCCTAGGTCCATTTGGTTTGAGCGTTCATGTGTGTCTGTACTCAGGGCAGAGTGGGATGTGCTGGAAATGTGCTGGAGCCTATGGAGGGCACTGTAACATCACCATACAGCCCTTTTATTACCTTTCCCTCCTGAGCACCTTGGTTTAACACGAGGCTTGTGCATCCTCCCTCATGCTGGGGTGAGGGAGGGGATCCTGGCTCCCCCCTCACACCCTTCTTCCAAGGAAAAGGGGCTTTTTTTTTTGTCTCTCCTGCTTGGAGAGGAGCCCCAGAGTGTGCCAAGGGACATGTTTGTTAAGCAGGATTAACATGGCACCATGAGGTCCCTCCTGCTTTTCTTGGTTAATGCTGGGTGGGTTTTAATTAATTCTCCATTTGCCACAAAAAAAAAAAAAAAGAAGGAAGTGGTTTGGGCACTAGGTGTCCCAGCTGTGTTTTCCTGAGAGCTTTGCAAAGCTCTGTGCCAATTTTTTGCTGCTTTCTAAATCTTAAAAAGGAGAGGAAAAAACAGAAGGATCTTGAGGCTGCTGAGGGAAAACATCTGGGGATTCCTAGGTG